ATTATAAATGGGAATGTTTAGATGAATAGATGGATGGTTGTTTTTTTGAAGGTATCTCCAGAACGGCTCAACAGATCTTGATAAAAGGAAGAACACACAGCTACACAATAAGCTTTTTTTACTTCCGCGTGGACTAGTAGATAATAAATGACACTCAGCCAGTGAAATGTGTCAATAAAATTTCTCATTTCCAGTAGATTTATGTAAATCTACACTCAATATCTTTACATAAATGTACACTCAATATCTTTCCTGATAATGCATAGTATGTGATATCGATGAGAGAATGTATTGAAAATATGTATGTCATTTAAATTATATTAATATCAATTATTCTATAGTTGAATTCAAGTTGCATATGTATGCAGAAGTGCATTTTATATCTCATAATTCACGGCCGTAGCCTAAAGGGGTAGGCAGAGACCACGGACATCTATAACGCGCGGTTCTTCGACATTCATACATCTACACATATAGACTTCGCTTTCGTGTGCTTTTAATAATACTAAATATCTCGCTATTATTTTAATCTTTGGCAACATAATAAATATGAGGTAAATAAAACTAAGTTAACAAACATGATTGACTTTTTCAACGACTCTTTCCATTCGAAAAGGCGAAAGCTCTGTAATGTACAGAATTCAAAGAAGACAACCTAAATTAACATCTCACGAGGCGACTTAAACTTGTAACCTCCACAGGCAGTGAAGGTTAAATTAAATTTTCTTAAACAAAGAGGCACAAGCGTAGCGGAAATGATTAGGGGGCACGCAAATTCCTATTTAATGAAATAATTTCAAGGCACTTGCGGAGTTTTGCATTTTCTTTAGTTCTCCAAATGATTTTAACATATTTTTCTTCCTCGTACATTTTTAATGCTTAGTTTTTATTCTGACATTATCAGAGATATACCAAGATTTCACAGAACACAGGATTGACCTGTCGGATAAGACGTTGCGAAGATGCAGTTTCGATGGTCTTTTATTTACTTAATTCTTTTCCTCGCCTCTTTTCTGAAGTTAAAGCTTCTAGCAAGCGGCATAAACACAAGTGACCAGCAAGTTCGTTTGATATATCTTCCTTCTTTAAATTACTTCTCTCTCTTTGCGTTATTTAAATATTTGGCACATACTGAACAGTCTAAGTTTATTGCTTATAAGTTAAAGTTTATCGGCTTTACGATTGAGTTAGTTTAAGATTAGATTTATTAATCACGCAAGTTCATCAAGTGAGGTTTACGTTCACGCTTGGATTAATGAACTCGAGCAGCTGTTGCGACTGTAAAACAATTGTGAAGTAATTATTGCGAGAAGCGTGTCACAAAACATAACTTGTTAAAGAACAACAACTAATTCAATCAATGAGACTCGTTAGAAAAGATCGCTATATGTATGATTCAGAGTAAAAATATGTAGTGTTTTACCCCTTAATATTGTTTAATTCTATATTGTTCTCAGTTTTAATCATTTCCACGGTACGGCCACGTAGATAGACCTTTAAACATTAAATATTATAATTATAAAATACTGTGAATTGATTCGTCTTCTATATTCTTTATCATAGTTATGTTGGTAAGTAAATGTTTTATACCTTAAATAGAAAATTCACAATAATTTAAATAACATTTACTAACATTGCTTACTTTATAAAGAGGTCATGTTTAGATTGTTAGCATATGTTATGATGATCAATAAACGCTTAAAATGTTTACAAGCTTTTAGTTACCTGATACGACGCTTTTCACCTAAAATTTCATATTCATTTCTGCAACATAACGTTATTTATTGCTTGCAAAATAGTTGGCAATTAATGGTAAAGTACCATGTAAAGATTCTAATAAATATTTATGTATTAAAAAGTATTTCTTTAGTGTCTTAATTTACTTTCTTGTGTGTTTTATGGTGGTATACTTTGACTGAAGTCAAACAACAGGAAACAAAAGAGCAAATGTTCACAAAACATGTACTTTTTGGTTTCGACTGTCATGATACTTGTATCGACACATAATGTCTTCCTTCTCATTCGCTTTGGATAAACAGAGCCAACAACATGTTTCATTACAAGTTTCACGGCAATTGAAACACTAATGTTTGTTTTGACACCATTTTATAAGCTGTATAACGCTGGAAGTGACATTTGCCTCTACAATTCCAATACTAATGGTTTAATCAACAATATTTTATGTTTGTAAGAGAAAGATATACGGAAATAAATTCTTGCACATTTCAGACATAGATTAATACGTTTCTTGTATTGGATAGTTCTGGTAACTTTATCGCGCGTTTTAGGAGAAAATGTTTAGTTCCTTTGACCCTCATCATCGGCTATTTATGTATTGAATTAAACATGAGGCTTCTACCGAACAAATGGACTATAAAATGTAGTTTTATTTTCGTATTTCAAACCTACGACGACAGGAATTTGCTATTATAAGTTTTATTGGTTTATTTATCCTGCTAAAGCTTTTGCAAATAACATTGTCTGATATTAACTAGCCTAATAATAAATACTTAAGTATTTATTTAGTGTAGATCGTAATCTGTATATTTTCATTCCGATAAAATTAAAAATAAATTAACCGGAAGATAAACGATCAGTTGAATAAACATATTTTAATGATTTGGTAACATTCGTTTTGAATATTTCGTTTGCTCAATCAGTCTTAAATAAAAATGTAAATAAGGAAAACGGAACAAATGTCTTCATTTTTTATACCAGTAGTAGGTCGTATCTTATATACCTTTATTATGTAATAATCAATAAATTCACATAATTTATTGAACATTTTATTACTACGTCTAATTTTAATTTATTATTTAACCATTTAACAAACAAATTACCAATTATTTTAAAAGGTATTTAAAAAGTTAAAAATACGTATTTTTTGTTAATGAAAATAATAAGCTTGCGTAATAAGGTTTTAAATGGCCGGTAATTACACGGATCGTATTTAGTTACTCGTAACTTAGACCCTTTGTAAGCACACAAAGGACTAACCACAGACATGCTTTTTATTACCTAAACCTAACATATGCTAATGAGCTTAGGACATAAATACTCCCTAACCATATAGCTACATGTAATAACCTACAAATATTTTTTAAAGGTTAAAAGTTTCAAGGTCATTCAATGTTAATTTTTAAAAATGATGTATTTATAATAGACAAATCTTAGAGGATGAAATGTTTTCCTTCATCTGCAAAAAAGAGAATTTACTGAGTTTGTGGGCGATCTATTTTTCAGTAAATTGGTAAGAATAAAGCGAGGTTACGCTAGACGAATCTAAATTGAGTAGACGGTCGATTTACATGTGCCTAGGCTTAGGCGTATGTATCAAACTTGCGGCTGTATTCGTTTATAATTTTTTACATCGTTTGCTGCCTTGGCGTATTTCTGAGCAAATTCATGTGCTAGACATGTCGCGAATAAAAAAACGCAATATTGAATGCTAGCTGTGTCTTGTACCAGTTGTGTCGTACTCCTTTCCCGTACATTTACTTTTTTCCTTTTTCTTCACAAAGAGGGACCGACAGCATCTCTCGAATATTGTTAAATATTTTATTTCTGTTGTAATGTCTTAAAATAAAATCGCAGTCATTTGTGATCAGTAGTGGTCAGTCAACTACTTTACAGGGTGAAAATGTAATCTTTTACATTTTATAGCAATGTGTTTCTTTTAATAAATTATGTGGTAACCATACAATAGGTAAAACATTTTATGAATGCGGTCTTTTCGTAAGAAATTTACGAAACCACAAATTTTTCCATTTTAATATATATATTAGTGTAGTAAAACATATTTCTGTTTACATACATGAAATTATCAAAAACCCAAAATACAAAGAAACTGCGGATAAAAAGCGATTTTTTTTATTCAATTTAGCAATCATCCCGGAAATGATGGTAATCTTTCCTAAATTGATATTTAATATATTGCACGAGATCAAAATTTAGGACCATGGTAAATATATCTGTTTACTTAGAAAGGACACGGACTAGAAAAAAACATTGCTAAGAATAGTCTTTTTTCTATTTGTTCTATGTCATGTGTTTAATACTAAGTGATTCAACGAGAATTACTCGTATTTTATGCCGAATTTCTGTAAATTTTAACCACATTTTCTAATGTAGCAGATATAGCTTTGAAATAACCACTACATACCACATGACACCAATTCGAATGTTTGTCGTAAAAACAAAGGAAGTAACATAATTTATTGTTGTTCTTGTTAGCTTATAAATTTGAAATCTTTAAATGTAACTGTTTATTTTGGACTTATTATTCATAAAATTTGGAGTTACCTTATCGCAAAAAGAAAACAATCCATGAACGATAAGCGTGCGTTGGTTAGCAGTTTATTGTGTTCACGCGAATTACGCGATGACTTCTTGAAAAGCGTACGTGAAAACTAAAGAAGTTATCCGAGTTTATTCGTGTTTTTCAATTAGTTTTAGTAACAATGTTAAAGTGATTTTATTCACAATATCTAATGTTCGACTAAATTTTATGAATTTTAAATATAAATGCATGTTGAATTAACATACGATTTTAAATGTAAATTGAATTGTTGTATAACAAATAGAAGTGGTAAGTAATAACATTTTAATTAATAATATTTTTAACTGTCCACTTTACATCTTATTTCTATTGCTAATGGAAAATATCAATCACTGCTCAACACAATCTGAGTAATGTTTCAATAAGAATTGATGCAGGCCAAAGTTTTAAAATTATTCAATTATTTTATAAATTACTTTCCTATTAAAATAACATTATTCTCCTTAATTAATTCTCTATTAGTATCCTATTAATTGTATAATAGTATTATTATATTTTACTTATTATAATAATATTAAATTATTGTTGTAATTATTATGCAATTATAATAAGCATAACCAGTTCTATAGGTTTATTGTTTGTTGTTACCATGTTCTTCATCCTTACAATAACATGGTGGAAACGTCCAGTGATTTATATAGGTAGTTGCATATTGAAAATTTTATAGCACATAAAATTACCATAAACAAAGAATTCGCTGCCAAACGACTTGATATACTTACTGTTAGGTCAAACAGCTCTATGTTTAGCGGATGTATGATTTGAATCAAAAGAAATAGTCAAAATTATTTAGGTGGTGTCTTATCTCTTCAATACGTCCCCACTGAGGAGCTCGGAGTCTACCTTAACTGAGACGGGTGACTAGTTCACAGTCAACCACCATCAACCGTCACCGTCACCACCGTCAACAACCATATGTTATATTACGAGTCGGCTTAATATAACATCTGTTTGAATTTCGTCACAGATAAAATCGCAATTAAGACCGTCGGATGTTCATAAGTAAATCTAAAAACATATGGTACATGGAGGGATTCGAACCCAGGACCTATTGATTATTATCAGACCTACAGAAGTCAAGTGCTTAACCCTTGAGCCACCGACGCTTATGAATAGGTGTTTGAAGTAATAATATAAGTACTTCCACACTTATGTTGATAATCTTACCTATTTATAAGCAATATTTAATAGAAATGGTTTTCAGTATATAGTTTTCAAGAGACTCAATAAAGGTATGTTTTAAACATTAAATTATTTTGTAATTATATTAATAATTATCAAATTCCGTCTTTGGAAACGTGTCTTTTAATTTTTTTTATTATTACAGATGATGAAACAAGCAATATATGATTGTACGATAATTTTAATATTATTTAAATATGTGGCTACATATAGAGCGCATGATACATCGACTACTCCGGATATTCAATCTACAATGATGGGCGATGTTGTTGAGTAAGTGTGTATTTAATATCATTTAAATTTCTTACATAAAATAAGAATAAAAAGGATACCACGGGTTTATAATGATACCTATTCAAACAAAGTTGTTAAGCGTCAATAACGTATTAAAAAGGTAACACTATTTAGTAACTTATAATTATTTATTCGTAATTGATGTCCATGGGTGTCGTTGATAACCTCGGTGTTCCCGCCGCTCGTTTGCCCCCTTCTCTTATAAAAAAAAAAAATTAACAAACTCCTTATAAGGAATACAACAAAACATACGCTAATATATCTTACTTCCTATTTCTTACTAATATTATGAATGCAAATGTTTAGAGAGATAGATGGATGGATAGATGTTTGTTTGAAGGTATCACCAGAACAGCCGAATGGATGTAGTACATAGTCTGGAAGAACATATAGGTTATTAATTAAGTTTTTTAAATTCCGCGCAGACGGAGTCGCGGGCGACAGCTAGTTCTTAATAAGCATAAACCTTACAGTTACGATACCGATAGTGAAAAAGAGAATGAACTAACGTCAGCCCCAATATGTACTGCATATCAATCAAACTGTACAAAGACTCGTTACCGGTCATACGATGGATCTTGCAATAATTTAGCAAATCCCACTTGGGGAACACCAAATAATGCCTACGAAAATATGGTACAAAGTAACTATGCAGATGGTAAGTAATTACGGTTACAAAAATAATCATAGAGAAAACGCCATAATAAGTGGGTAACAGTAATATCAACATTCAGTAATTTTCAAAAATGATTCAAAACGCACATTCAATTATCTTTTTGTAAAAATCACCACCCTCAAGGAAAGAATAAAGTCCAATCCGAGATCCAAACTGATCAGATGATCTGTTAAAAATCGTCACGCAATTTATTTGAGGGACATCCCTTGGATTCATAGTATTGATTCGATATTTACATTGGCTAGTTCATAAATGTAGATTAGTTAATGAACCATTTATAAAACACCTGATTATATTTTCACCACAATTAGTAATGGTTGTTTTCCATTTCTACGTTTCGTTTATATAGAGACATATAAAATTACTTATTTCCTCAGGTGTAAACTCATGGCCCACGGCTTCAGATGGTGGGTCATTGCCTAATACTCGAGAGATTAGCATAAAAATATTTATACCAAAACTAGAAATCGAACATAAGTGGAACTTAAATACTCAACAATGGGGGCAAATAGTTGCGCATGACTTGTCGCTGACAGCTGGACCCGATAAAGCAAGTAAGTACATTATTCATTTAAAATAGGCTACGCATCAGGGGCCTTTAATTTGCTAAAGATGCATAGAAATCAGGTGGCCACTTTCTTGTTTGTCTCCTCATGGTATAAAAAAATGTATTCAATACTTGAATAATTTAAATTAAATGCAAATAATAAAAACGTAGATCGATTTTTGAAATGTCAATTTTCATTGTATACTCCTACTATTTATACTATTATCTTTTTACTAGAACTAGAAAGGCCTGTATGCTGCGACGACAATGGAAATATAGCTCCAGATGCGGGCACCCATCCACTTTGCCGTCATATCCCAATACCACCTGATGATGATTTTCATGTACCAGAAGGAAAGCAATGTATGAACTTTATAAGGACAACATCTACTAAAGATATAAATTGTACTGGTCCTAATGATCTCGCTTCTCCGGTAAGGTCTTAATTTTTATTTCAACTTATTTTTCCAATTATCTTTTCCAACATGTATTTAATAAAAAAGATTGTGACAAAAGTGAAATTGGCAGCTTTAAGTTTTGGATAAAAGAGAATGAAGGCGACTAAAAAATTTTTTTGGCGGAATCCTAAATTATATTCAATATACTTAAAGAAAGAGGTCATTAAGATTTCGTTGGACATTGTTTGTGGGTCTAAATAAATGTTGCACCATAACATCTGGTGATTTTTCAGTTGTCTGTGGTTACTTCTTATATGGATTTATCTCTAACGTATGGAAATGATGAGAGACATGCAAAGGCGATTAGAGAAGGCAGCGGAGGTCGTATGTGGACAACAGTACGAAATGGCTACGAATGGCCCCCGCAGACCGGCAACATTAAAAAAGATTGCATAGGTGTACATTCAACTGACGAACCATGTTATTTGCTAGGTAACTTGACTATAGCTTATGTACCCTAAGATCTGTTTATCACATTATTGATAAGGTCTTAAGATTTATAGTAATTACTTTATTCAGGTTTTGAAATCAAATACTATGTACAAAACAGTGCGTTTTTTAAACCAAATTAGGACGCTTCCTGGTTACTTTTGTTTTAGTCTTCAATAATTTTATAGCAAAATCTACATATATTTGAGTGTTTACATTCAGAAAAGTTCCATAGTAAGATTCAGTCTAGTCAGTTTGTATTTTATTACTCTATGAATTCACTTTACAGGCGTAGTTTTTCTTCATTTTATTACTTTATTAATTAAAAAAATTATGTCCTTGATAATACGCAGGTGATACTAGAGGTAATCAGAGTCCACAACTGACGGCACTGCACATAATTCTCGTCAATGAGCACAACCGCATTGCCGATGCTCTGTCCACTTTGAATCCGCATTGGGACGATGAGAAGATCTACCAAGAGGCGCGTAGAATTGCAATCGCCGAAACACAGCATATTAACTATTACGAATATTTAATTATACTTCTTGGTGAGTAGATCATTTATCATTCAATTTTTTTTTATTAACTTACACAATAGTTTTTCGTCGAGACTAATCAAATTATAATGTTATTTTTTTAGGTAAAAATAACATGATTAATAAAAAACTAATTTATCCACAACACAAAGACTACGTTAACGATTACAATCCTAATGTAAGTGCAGCGATATACAAAGAGTATGCGTCGGCTGCATTTAGACATTTTCACACAATGATACGTGGTTACTTGAAGTAAGATATCTTTTATAATTCCTACGATTAATTAACACTCCTTATAAAAGGATGATTAAAATAGTACTTGATAGAAAAACTTTTCTTGTTCTACTTTAATAAGACAGAAATAAAGTCTGTAATAGATATAACAGGTCCATTTATTGCCTGATGTGTTGTTAATGATAATACTACCTGTCGCCCACGACTCCGTCCGGGCGGATTAAAAAAATAATTAATAATTAACCTATGTGTTCTTGTGTGACTATATTCTAAATCTACGCCAAATTTCTGCGAGATGTAGCCGTTCTGGAGATACCTCCTTCAAACAAACATCCATCTAAATATTCGCATTTATAAGTTATGTTAGTAAGAAGTAAGATAAGATTTATTTTTGCAGTTTGATAACTGAGGATCGAATACTAGCGCGATCTGTACGCCTGAGCGACTGGTTCAACCGACCGGCTTTACTGGAGAAAGGCGACGGCTTTGATGATCTGGTCCGTGGCTTATCATATCAAGCAGCTGATAAAAGCGATGAGTATTGGGACTTTGAAGTCACACGATTTCTTTTTAAGTAAGATTCATCTTTAACTTTAAATCTATATGTCTTGTATTTTTTATTAAGCATCATTTAAAAAGTATGCTATAACATTATTTTCAGGGGAAACCATTCAAGTGGTGGTGATTTACGTGCTATGGATATACAGCGCGGCCGAGACCATGGTCTCGGTACTTATGTGCAACTCAGAGCTCACTGCGACTTGTCCGTCCCTGATACATTCAAAGACCTGAAAGAATATATGTCAAAAGAGGTAAGCTAAAAATTTACAAATTCGTGGCACGGTTACCCAACAACAACCAAAATTCTGGTTGGTTCGTTAATTTATTTTGACTGTAAAAATTGAATTACTCGATAAATATAAATAAAATATTATTAAGTAATTGTGTTTTAATTACAGAACGTTCAAAAATTGAAAGAATTATACGAATCAATTGAGGATATAGATCTAGTAGTTGGTGGTTCTTTAGAAAAACATGCACCAGGAGCTCTAGTCGGGCCGACATTCCTTTGTATTTTATTGCAACAGTTTCTGAACGTACGGATCGGTGATCGGTACTTCTATGAAAACGGGAAAGATCAGGACATCGCATTTACTTTACGTGAGTGATTTACGTTTTATTTCCACGTTTATCTATAGGTTAAAAGAGTTTGGACTTTTTAGTGACTGTGCGTTCACGCATTGGTACGGTGCTGATTTATTTATATTCAAAATATAATTTCAATTAATAACAATCATTTATATTATATTCTCATGTCTTGTTCCAATAGCTCAATTAAATAGTATCCGTAATGGGGCCTCTATGGCAAGACTTCTGTGCGACAACGGACACAAAATTACATGGATGCAACGAAGAGCCTTTGAATTGGTATCAGATGAGTAAGTATGATTTGGTAATAATTATTAATTATTAATTTGAATACTTTCAATTAAACGAATTTATTTATTTTAGAAATCCATTAGTGCGATGTGACGAATTGCCGGCAGTTAACTTGACATTATGGCAAGAATCTGTTCCAGAAGAAAAAGTAGTTGAAACACAATAAAAAATATGAATGAGTTTATATATGTTTGATTTTTTTTTTGTGTCGTTGTCTCTCATAATATCCACACAGTCTGTGGTCGAAATCGTTTAAGGTCCATTTTCAAGAAAAAAACTAAGATTTATCTGTCACCCGCAACTGCGTCCGCGCGAAATTAATAACAAAACATACATAATTAGTAGTCTATGTTTTCTTCCAGACTGTTCTATATGTATGACAAATTTCATCGAGATCTGTTTAGCCGTTCTGGAGATACCTTCAAAAAAACATACATCCATCCATTCATCCATCCATCTAAACATTCTCATTTATAATATTAGTAAGATAAGATTATTTCTGCTCTGCTGGGAGAATGTCATTAACCACATGAATCTAATTATTTATTTAAGGAAACATATTTAACAAAAGATATTGCAATTACTTTACACTGAATAAAAATGGTTCTTAAACAAACTTTACTTTTTATTTTTCTGGGTTAACATTTGGCGCTACAATTGTGTGCGGAATGTTCTATAAACCCTCGTTCATAAAGGTTTTTATTTTCATTAGAATAAAATGCGAAAGGTGACTTTATTCGCTCTGCGGTATTGAGTACAAGGTCAAAATTTAAGCCTTCCAGACTGTCTCTTTTGTACACATAAATATAAAATTTAGTAAAAAAAGAGTCTGCATTTTGTTAGGAAGAAAATCCTAGACTGTTTCGGTGTATCGGCGCAACACTAGCCTTATTAATATATCAACGCTTATGTCCCCTCACTATAATTAATCGGACACTTGAATTGGTAACGAAAGCGCGCCATTCTCTCTAAGTGATCCTAAATAATAATGTCTAAAAATTTGATAACATGCATATCTAATAGGGGCCGTGATGAACAGTAAATTCCTAATGGTAACTACATTTATAGTTAAGTGTCCTTGGTTTAATAAGTTATAATAATAACCTCGGAACATGAATCAAAAGAACTTTAATTACTTTATAATTTTTCTTTGGTGATATATGAAACATGCTTTATATTTGTACAACAAAACACAATTACATTTTAAAATTTCAAAGCATCAGAAACGTGTTTCTAATAAATCATTTTATCTAATCTCACAAAGCCTTTCAATGTTAACGCAACACAAGGATATGAAAATAGCCAGCGTTTTCCGTTTCCTCCAGACGTACATAATACGGAATGAGAGCTTTAACTTGAATTTGTGACATTTCCTGTGAAGCTTCAGATATTTTACTAGCTTAAGCTTTTATTACTTAAGTTATTGTTTGCTTAAGATCCGTGTTTTTATCTTTTATATTTATACCATGTATATTAACACAATATTCAAATGTAAGGCATTATCAAAAGTTTCATGAACGTCAAATCGAAGGCTTTATATTTTTTTATTCAAATATATATAATGTACAGTTAAATGAATTTTAATTTAAGATTAAAACAAGCATCGCTTACCTTTACAAAATTCTAACGAATATTGCCAAAGTTAATTAGCAATTCCTTTAATTTATTTTATTACGGTAGCAATCTTATTTGGATAACCGGAAAAAGTTCGTTATTAACGAGATTTTCAAATGAATAGGATAGCTTCGGGCTAAAAGATCGCGTAGAAAAATATACAATTCAATATTGCTATTTCCTGACACGTATTTACATTAGTAGTAATATTATATATCGTGTTGAAAAGTAAAAATCTTCGCGTAAGTTACTAAAAAGCTAAGTGTAAACGAAATTGATACTTTTCGATCACGTGTTCTTTATTTTAAAGCAAATCGCTGTTTAATACTTATGTCTTTGCCTATTCGACACACTCTTCTAGATTCATTAGGAACCAATATATACAAGTACAAAACCATTAGAACTGTATACACGCGAACAGAGATCGCTTACTGTTTCCAATTAATTATTGCTTATGTGTCTCCCCTGATTGTTCTAACATCGGTATTATAAGCTTAAGATATATCCTAAATACGTCTTATTTCAAATTACTATCAAACAAGTGAACATTTAGGCAGCTATGAATATAATCAGTATTCGGCAGAGTAGTTAAAACTATCAGTTCGTTTGTTTAAATGTTCGAATTCATTTATATTTTTCTAATTAAAATATAATTACAAACTTTTTACCTGCGCACACTTTTATTTACTAACCGGTTCCTTTACACTCAGACATAATTAAATGCACAAAAACCTTTGTAAAACTTTTGTAACGAATTAAAAGTTTTAACAAGCTCTTTTCATAAAGCGTTTCGTGATTCAAAAACATTCAAATAAATGTAACCAAAATGAAAAGTTAGAGAAAAGAGTAACATTTTTCTAAGGTAGAAATTTATAAAGAATTAAAACACACATTTAAATAGATTTTATTCAAAAATATATCCCGTGGTTGGCAAGATAATAAATTAATAATAAGCTTAGATAAAATTCTACATTTTCTAAATAATTTTCTCTTCTAAGGAATAAAAATAATTCCTACAAAATATTGTTTTCTACAAAAGCATTTTTGTGTTATTGTTTCCGAAAGACGTTTATACAATTGCGTTAACTTTTAGAATAGCGAACTTCTTAAAGTTAATAAAAAAAATTGTGTGCCTTCTCTCTAAATACTGTGCAAAATTTAAAATAACTCTTTCAATAAACTATGAATTAGCAATTTTATTTTTATGCCAACTAATAACTTAATATTAGATTATTGTTTTATTTTAGCAAACTGTAATTTCTGTGAATTTATTTTAATAAATTACTTTACTCAAACGACCATAAGGATTTTCCACAATACTGGTTAAAGTGATATTGTACTTTACTTAATCGAGAAACAATTATGAATAACAGCGTTTTCTAATATGTATGATTACTTACTAGATACATGTAAATTTCCACGATTTATTTTCTTATCTGTGTCAGAGCACGCGAACTGTAAACACGCTGTAAATGTTATTAACTATATGGTGGGCTATGAATAATTTATATAGAAATATAGAAGACTAGCTGTCGCCCGCGACTCTATCCGCGCGGAATTAAAATAACCTAATCAGAAGCCTATGTGTTATTACAGACTATATTCCACGTATCTGCCAAATTTCTATCTTATATCTTTAAATGAGCAATTCTTGTATATATATATATATATATATATATAGAATATCGGAATCGGCTCCAACGATTTTCATTAAATTTAGTATATAGGGGTTTCGGGGGCGACAAATCGATCTAGCTAGGAATCATTTTTAGAAAACGTCATTTTATTCGTGTTTTATCGATTATCAACTTAAACAAAAACTTAACTTTTTCTATCGGTAAGATCGAAAAATATTATTCATATTTTATCATTTTATTAGTAATTCCTACTTAAATATAATTTCCAAAAAAAAACAATTTAAAAAAAATACCGAGCAAAGCGAGGTCATCCAGGTACCAGCCTAAGATCCCTTCAAATAAACTTCCATCTAAACATTCGCATTTTTAACATTAGTAAGATTAAAAGATCGCCACTTATATCTGACTATAATACAATCACTAAAGAAAATCAACAAACAACGGGAATTCTCTGAACCGTGTTTTTTCCATTGTTTTAAGATCAATATCCTACTCCTTTAATTAAAACTGTAGGTTTCGAGACTGTCTATTTTTATGAACGATTTTCCTTTGAATGTTACGGGATTTTTCCTTCATTGTATTTATGTTAACGCTTATTATGTTTTTGCGTGTCTATTTTCAATAAGCCACGATATCCAAATTGATGTTCTTATCATAATTCAAGCATGAGGTCAAATGACAAACTGTTTTACTATCATATTAATGTAAAGTCTGTACTGGACTAAGTAATCTATAACTATAGTTAAAAAGATTAAAAATACTTTGCTTTTTATAATCTTGTAATGTTATAAATGCGAATGTTTAGATGGATTGATGGATGTTTATTTGTAGGTATCTCATTAACGGCTCAACGAATCTTGATGAAATTTGGCGTGGATGTAGAACATAGTCTGGAAGAACGCGTCGGGTATTTATTGTGTTTTTTTTTATTTCGCATGGACGGAGTCGCGGGCGACAGCTAATATTGAAATATATTCACATCAAAAAACGTCAAAGTGTAGGAAATGAATTGTTAAGACCCTTTGGATTTAATGCACTAGTAAAATATTTTCTCGTCGCAACGACATAAGAATTGTAAAGTGACAACCCTTGATTTAAAAAAAAATATAATGACCATAGAAAAAGTTTATGAAATTGTATAACTACATACGAAAATATTTCGATACACATTACCGGCTCTCAAAATATTATGTTAACACATATAACAATATTAGGTATTATCTCGCACTTTTTCCTTATAACACTGCTTTTTGTCCTTTAGGTTAGAGATAAATTTTGTTTTATTTATTGTTACAAAAGTGATTCTTATATAGCCGTAGCCTTGACTGCCCGCAGGGAATTTCCTTATTTTAACAATACGAAGTACTAAAAGCATTAGGAGTTTTTGTACCAGCAAACCTTTATATTAATTACAACATCCATTATATTGTCTTCCAAAAGTAATAAAATGTTTAATTCATTTAAATGCAAAATGCAATTTCATTGAAGGCTGAGTTTTAAAAAATAATTATAGTTAATGGAACATAATACAAAATGTATATCCAATTCCAAAGAGTTCTTATCGAACCAAATGCTCTAATATGTTGTAACTCCCAAATAACGGGACAAGACAATGATTTGCGTAACCGTTCGTCGGACCCTTTTTACCCCAATAATCATTATTCTAATTGACACTTTCGATTGTCATCTTTTAACGAAACTCTATCAGTTTGAGTGACATTACTTTATACGAAATATTTTTCGTGGACAGAGTCTACCTTGCTCTGTATGTTTATATACTATCAATGTATATTATATACAGCGTACATAGTGCAACTTTCCAATAATCGATCGTAACATTCAAGTACTATAACAGTTCTCTTACTGCGTGGTAAGAGTGTAATGAATTCTCCTTGCGTATTGTTCTGAGAATTATATCGTTA